TGTTACTATGATCCTTCCTATGAAAAGTAATTAGAAATACATCGGGTTATTTTTCAGTAACAGAATACGAAATATTCCAAATCCGACGAAAGTAAGCAAATAGATTATTGAATACGTGGGATAAAATTAAATGCAATTAAAGTTCAGAAATTAATGAGTTTTTTAATCAATGGCGTATAAAATTGTTTATACACACTGTTTATATTTTTAATGCTTTGAGTGATTACAATAACGAACTTAATTGTGCTTATGTAATATTCACAAATAAATTCATAATCTGAGGTTATTTGAGAGGTGGTCAATCAGTTAAATGATGGCATTAAACATTTATTTAGTATCTATGACGATATTTTGATTAACAATAATATACATTAATCATGATATTTTAATTTGCTTTGAAATTTTTTTTATTTCTTTGAACTTTGTGTTATTTCTAAGATGTAAAGTACTCATTGACACATCCTTATTCATCTTGTTGAATTATGAATCCCATCATTTTATTTTGAAATTTTAAAAAACGCATTTTGAATATTTATATCACATAAAATAAGTGTTTGAAACAAGTAGTTCATGAACAAAACTCATGAACATTGGAGAATATTATGTCAGTTCTAATTAATACGCGAGTCAATTTAACGACTAAACTGGCAAATTCAAAACACCAAAATATATATGAGGATGAGAAATCAAGCACTGACAATTATTGAAGATTGCGAATTTGAATTAGAAGCTTTAAAGAAATGCAAAAAAACTATAAGGATAATTGGTTCTCATCATTTTTGGAATTTGTCGATCATGAAGTGATGACTGTCTAGATCAAATTACGTATGATGTATTTTATATTATCTACAAACTCATATGATCATGGCGCAGCAACAGACTGTTATTTTTTAATGCAAAATGACGTAATGCCAAATATTTATAATTTGTACAATTAACAAAATATCCGGGTCAATATTATTCGGCAAAGAACCAATATTCGGTCAAAATTGTTCAAAATTGTTATAATTTAGACAATAATATTATTCATGTAATTAATTAAGCAATTGCAAATAAATTTATTAATTAAAATACATTTTTAATATTTAAAAATTTTAAGTACAATTATTGATTTGGAGAGAATAATAATCCAGTATTGCATTATAAAAAAACACTTGTAACAAGCCTTCTGGCATGCTATGTTGCATCACGAGGTTGTCTAAGATTTGCTTAACCTTGATATGTTTAGCATTTCTTTTCATTGCATATATAAACTTAAAGAGCTGGTCTTCTAAACTGCCTTATAATTAATTTTTTCAATCTTGTTTCATATACTACTTTAGAATAGAACTCTTCTAGAGCTTTAATCTATATTTGTGTCACTTTATGGGTGGTTTTAATTTTAGCATTTTTATGAAGTTCTTTAAGATCATTTATAAATAATTTATAAAAGAATCTGTTTATATAATATACTAATAAAAAATGTTAATATAGTTTTTTCATGTAAAACAACAACAAAAAAGAAAAAATATATATATTATTTTACTTTCACCTTGCCATAAGGGCTTTAATATTACAGCATTAACAGGCTTTAATGTTATAGCCTTAATAGATGTTGCTGTTATAGCTTTACTAAGTATTACTGTTATAGCTTTACTGTTATGACTTTGTTGTTATAAATTTGCTGTTTCAGATTTGCTATTACATATCAACCACCAAAACTTTCAACACGTGAATTCTTTCAACAAACATTAAAATATTTTTAAATAGAAAATGTTTTTTTTTATACTAAAAAAAAATGATTTTTATACTGTTCTGCAATCTTTTTTTAGGTTTATAAAGTATTTATAGAATCTAAGTAGATCAGGTCATAATCATAAATTATCAGATAACACCATTATTTAACAAATTACTATTATGCATCAATTTTGTTGAATAATATATACTTATCTGACATCTAAATATGATAGAGCTTGCTAGATGAATTTATAAATAAAGGTTCTAAAAGTAAAAATAATTATAAATATGGTCTAAATTAAAAAATAATTACATATAAGAGCCTAATTTTTTAAAAAATATTACATATAAAAGCCTAGATCTATTGATAACTAAAAAAAATATAATTGTGAGATTACTGCACTACACAGTACTATGATTCTTTGAATTATAATAATAGCTAAACATGATTATAAGATTATCAATTGTTTAATTATAGGCAATTAGAGTTATTTATATACTAATTATTAGATTAAAGAATTAATGAATTGCTGATTATAATTATTTTCACTTAAATATTATATAAAAAAATAGTATTAAACTAGCACAATTATTTATAAAGTGAAGAAGTTTCAACAAAGTAGTTCTTTAGAGCTGAATAAACATCTTCTATATTAGTAAATATCATACCAATTTACAGTCTTTACTTAACATCATAGTGGTATATTATAATAATAAGTAATGTTATATAAAAAAAATAAAATCTATTAAATTTAAAAAAATTCTTTTTTTACTAATTTACAATCAATAGTTACATTTTATACACCTAATAACTATATTGATTAATGCTTACATTTCTTATATTAATAATGATCAAATATAGACTTGAATAATATTGCAGTTATTTTGGGGCCCTTATATGTAATATTTTTTAAAAATTGGGTCTTTATATGTAATTATTTTTAATTTGGGCCCATATTTGTAATTATTTTCACTTTTTGGGCCCTTATTTGTAAATTCTTTATAAATTATAATTATTATATATATTGTATATTGGAATGTAATCCTAATAGGTTTAGAATTAACTTAAGTTAGTTCTAAATAAATATAAGTTATAATAGAATTCTAAATTATATCCAAGTTGCTAATGAATTCAAAATTAACAAAAATTTAAATTAATTAATAATCTGCTTGATAACTAGAGAATAGACAAAATATAACACTTTTATTTAAAATTTTTTTTCTTACTAAGTTAATGATACATGCCCACTAATTAAAAGTTGTAGAGCTCATTAAGATGCATCTAACAGTAATTAGATCATCCAAATCAACCTAGCCAATAAAAGATATCATTAAAAATGATTAGCTGACTATATAAAATCTTTATATAAGCAAATATAGTTTATATAGAGATTTTATATAGTTGGCCAATTATTTTTTAATGATATCTTACTATCAGCTAGGCTAATTAGGATGATCTAACTATTGTAAAATGTATCTTGATGAGCTCTACAACTTTCAATTAGTGAATATATATCATTAACTTAGTAAAAAAAGTTTTAGATAAAAGCGTGCTACATTTTGGCTATAGTGATTTTCATATATAATTTCTATTACAGATTTTTATATAGTCAGCCAATTGTTTTTTGATGATATCTTGCTATTGGCTGGGGTAATTTGGATGATCTAATCACTATTAATGCATCTTGATGAGTTCTACAACTTTAAATAATGGACATGTATTATTAACTTAATAAGAAAAAAATTTTAGATAGAAGATATCACATTTCACCTATTCTCTAAATAATAGACAGATTATCAATGAAACATATTTTAAATTATTTTAATAAGTATATTATTTTAGAATTTAGGTAAATTTAGAATTTATTTAAAAAGCACTTTATATTGCAAATTATTGCTTAAATACTACTATTATTATATAGTATTTTTATATCAAAATAATTGCTATGATGACAGCTACTGCTACATAATACATTTGCTTTTACATTTGCAAAAAAATTTATTACAAAATTTTTGCAATTACATTTTATACTACTTATTTGTAATGAAGATTGTGCAATTGCTGCTTCTCAAACACTGATAAAAGCTGAAAGAATGTTATTTAATTCTGAAAAATTTATTGAGACCCAAAGAAAGTAGTTCAGTAGCTCTGCAGGTAGTTTAAATAATATCAGATTTACATCTGATTCTATAAGAGTCATTTGCTAAAATTCAAGAATTTTATATAGTAATATTTTTTAATCACTGTATATTCTGTCAATTTCAGGAATTTTAATATGAACAAAATCTCTAATATTATACTTGTCTGCAAATTTTTTATTTTGCTTGGTTAGTTGTGACTTCATATTATCATTTTATCTTTTAAGAGATTGTGTAGTTATACTTCAGTAGATTTTATATGCTGCTGTTTGTTAAATATTGGTCTTATTTTGAAAAATACATTAAGAATTATATTTATCTAAAAAAACTACAAAATAAATAAATAAATTTAATTATCAGAAATATTATATAATGCATTTAAAATAAATTTTTAATTAAATTTAAACTATTAAATTATTATCTGAATTTTAAATGTATTTTTTATTGTTGATAAACTTTTATTAGTTTTACTTGCAGGTAATTTTATCTGTTTAATAAAATCTTATTATTATTTGTTTAAATAAATAAATAACTAACTTAAATTTTTAATATTTTTTATCCTACCTCTTTATTCATCATTTTATCTATCTCTCCATTTATCATTTTATTCATATCTTCATTTATCATTTCATCTGTCTCTTCATTCATCATTTTATTTGTCTTTCTATTTATCGTTTTATCTTTTTCATTTACTTTTTCATTTATTCTTTTGTGCATTCCTTTATCTATGCTTTTATTTATCCTTTCATCTACCCTTTCATCTATCTTGTTGTTTACTCTTTCGTTCATTCTTTTGCTTATCTGTTTATTTGCTGTTTTGTTTTACCTTTTGTTTATTCTTTCATTTACTCTTTTATTTTTCTTTATATTTATACTTTTATTTGCTTTTTCATTTACCCTTTTATTTGCTTTTTTATTCACCTTTCTAATTGTACCTTTATTTACCCTTTTATTCATCTTTTTATTTGTTTTATCTATTTTTTTATTTATCTTTTTATTCATTCTTTTATTTGGCCTTTTATTTAGCCTTTTATTTAGCCTTTTTTTGCCTTTTGTTTGCCCTTTTGTTGTCCTTTCATTTACACTTTTATTTACACTTTTATAAATATTCATGCTTTTATTCACCATTTTATATACCCATTTATTTACTCTTTTATTTCTATTTTATCTATCTGTTTATTTACTCTTTTATCCATCATTTTATTTACTATGTCATCAACTATTTCATCTACTATTTCATCTGCCATTTTATTTTTACTTCTATTATTTATTTTGTCACTTTCCAACTCATTATTAATGCTATCTAATAATTCTTGCTTCTAAATATATATATAGAGTATATAAATATGTATATATAATATTTTTTTTTTTTTTGGTATTGAGGTAAGGCCTTGCTCATATCTTTATTAGTAATTTTAAAAATAGTGACTACATAAGAGTTATATAGAAATACTACTACTTGTACAAGTACAAATAAAAACAAAAATTACATGCAAGAATAAAAGCTCAGACATATTTATCTGCGACCTAAACCCACTAGAGTGGTCAAAGACTCACC